TTGAGATGTGCAAAACGAAGGATAAAATCTCCCCAGCACAGAAGTAGAGACAGAGTAAAAAATAACATTCTTGCTCCCATTACACTCCTAGTTGTCCTCAATAGCTAGTAGCCTAGATGTGCTCCCAGATATCAGCAATGCCTAGATGAGTGTTGTGATAGAGTTGCAACATTGACTTTCATTTCAGTGTGGTGCAGTGTAGTGGTATAGTTTTGAGTGTTGGACTAGGATTTCAGGAGGCCAGGGTCTAAATCTCTGCTCAGCAATGGAAACCCCTTAGGTGACCTTGGGCATGCCACATTCCCTCAGCCTCATACTTCTTCTGAATAACCTTGTAGAGAAAATCCTAGGAGTGGGTTGTTATAGGTTGGAGATGACTTGAAAATTTATAACAGCTCACATCTAAGGTATAGGTTTTTAAAAATGCAGAGCATGTCAGCTGGGTGGAGGGTGCTAATAATTCATTGGAACTGAGCAGGTGTAGTGAGAGAATTAAAGCTTTTGAATTCCTGAGGAAAATCCCTCTTCTGCAGCTCATAGTTGCTCTAGGGGACAAATACTATATTCCCATTAATGCCTCTGTTTTAAGTGGAGTTCTCCCCATTTATAATTTTTTATTTGGTGGCTGATATGTTTTTTTTTACTCTGCTTTCAGTTATGTTACTTAATTTTTTTATTGTCTTTAGACTGTGTGCCTCCTCAGACTTTTAAGTAGAAGTGGTACATATTTGTTCCCACATACTGGGGCTGGATTATCATAATGCACTCTGTGTGAGGCTTCTCTTAACACTGGTCCAGAAGCTATAATCATGAAGACTGCAGTGGCTAGGTTACTGAACAGGGTTAAACCCATGGCCAGAATTTTTGTGCTGGGCTAGCCGAAACATCATTAAATAAAATGTAGGTGAGATATGACATTACTTTAATTTATTTGTTAAAACCATATTAAAGATGTAAATTTACACAATAGTAGTAAACCTTGAACATCACTCAGATTGATCATTCTCGTAATCATTTGTTTATCAACACAACAATCCTAGGAGGAAAATAAGGCAAATTCTGTCCAATTCCAGATCTCTGCAGCCCTGAAATAACTCTTTAAAAGTTTTTAAAAGAAGATTGAAAGACAGAAAGACAAAAAAAAAAAAACCAGACAGACAGACAGACAATAATTAGAGAAATTTTTAAAAGGTAAGCAAGAGAAGGGGACATTCATTGGGACCACATGACTGGCAATCACACAACTGCCCTGGGAGCGACATTCATACCTACAGATTTGCACAATTGCCAGGTCATTCAATGGTTTCCCTCATGAATGAAAAGGAATATGTGGGAGACAGAGCAGCTACAGGTTGGAGGCAGTGGCATGCCATGAATATTTCCAAAGCTAATTCCTTTCCAATGTACTCATAGGGCCTCGGCAGACGGCTCATTGGGCCGTCTTGGAGGCAGGGAAGAGGAGGGGCAGCCGCACGCTCGGCACCCCTTCCTCCTCCCGAGGTTGCCCTCGGAGCAGCCGGCCCTCCGCACGGCCGGCGCTCCAAGGGCAACCTCCCGCCGCAGCGTCCGCACACGCTGCGGTGGATAAGTTAGTGAAAGTGCACCCTATGCTTTTGGGGCGCACTTTCACTGACTTCTGAAAGGAGCGCTGATTTAGCGCTCCTTTCAGGGGTGCCGACGGTGCGCCGTGGTGCGGATGCTGAGGTCCCGCGGCGCACCATCCCACGGCATCCCAGACGCCCTCGTCTGCTTCCCCCCATAGTTTAAAAGCCATGGGCAGTAATCTCCTAAGAGACAGTACAAGCCCAAAGTCACTCATAATAAGCTTCATGGCTGAGGCAGGATTTGAATCCTAGCCACTTTGTTCCAAGTGCAGCAATCTGTGCAATATATAAGCACATAGTGTTACAAAGCTTAAATATGAAGATGACATAAAACTAAGGAGTGGATTGTAACCAGGATCTTTACATATGGCACACAGTGCATGCAAAATCATTTTTTCAAGTCTAAATGGCAACAAATGTACATTCTGTTTAAACATATATCCCTGCCCTGCCATAACTTCATGTTATCTATTATTTTGATCAGATTTCCATATAGGACTGAACAGTTTCATTTTGGCATTCCTATATGTTAAAGATAAAGATAAAGGTATTGACAAGGTTGTCAAGTCATGTCTGACCATAGGGGACAGTGCTCATCGCTGTTACTAAGCCAAAGAGCCAGCGTTGTCAGAGACTACTCTGTGATCACATGGCCAGCAAGATTGCACAAAACGCTGTTTACCTTCCCACCAAAGTGGTACCTATTTATCTATTTGCACTGTTACATGCTTTCAAACTGCTAGGTTGGCAGAAGCTGGAACTAATGCCAGGAGCTCACACCATCATGCAACACCCAGGCTTCGAACTGCCAACCTGCCAATCTTGCAATCAACAGAGTCAGTGTCTTAACCACTTGAGCCACTGCATCCCTATTCCTATATGTTGCAAAGGGTTAAAACTTTTTATTATAAAACATATAGAGAAACTGTAACCATGTTCATTTCCCCCTTGTTAAATTAACCCTTACTTTGATTCTATATTAAAAAGTGAGGCAGAACCAACCATTGGGTGGAATGAAATTTCTGACAATGCCAGACAGTGATGAGCTTGCAGTGAAGATGAGCCAGTGTGGTGTAGCAGTTTGAGCATTGGACTATGACTCTGGAGAGCAGGGTTTAAATCCCAGCTCAGCCATGGAAACCCACTGGGTGACCCCGGGCAATTCACACTCTCTCAGCCTCAGAGAATGGCAATGGCAAACCCCCTATGAAGAAGCTTGCCAAGAAAAACCCATGCATTAGGGTCGCCATAAGTCAGAAAGGACTTGAAGGAACATAACAAAGGTAGATACTGCTGGTGTAGAACCTGGAAATTACCTGCCACCAGTCTTGTGGATAGACCTGTCTTTGTCAAAGTTGATGGCCTCCTTTCTTGATCTCACAGTTGTTGTTGACACTGCTGGTAGAAGAAATGACTGAAGAGAGAGATGTACATGAGAGGATGAACCTGTGTATTCCCAGCACATAAGTGAGGTATGAATGAGGCACCAAGAGGTTGAGGAAGAGTCCTTAAAGACATGGGAATGCCAATACATCTGATAGTCCTGATGAAGAATCTGTACTCGGGACAAGAGGCTACTTGAAACATGGAGAAACAGAATGGTTCCCAATTGGTAAGGAAGTCAGACAAGGCTGCATCCTTTCACCCTATCTGTTCAACTTGTACATAGAACATATAAGAAAAGCAGGCTTGGACATGGAAGAGGGAGGAGTGGAAATAGGAGGAAGA